CAAACCAGAACTTTTCATTTTGCAGGTATAAAAAGGGATGCTAGCATGGCAGTTTTTTTTAATCCTACCTCTTAAAGCACCTGGCAAGTGTGTTCTATTACTGATAGGCAGCACACATTTCGTAGGCCAGTCCAGAGACCTGAGTTAATCAAGTTGGCAGACAAAAGTTTTAGTGCACGCATGGAACTGCATGTGGTGATGAAGTTGTGAACGAAGGTATAAAACCCATGGATATCTGCAGAAGACTTCAAGCACAGTACGGAAATGAGCCGCTAAGAGACGTAGTAAGACATTTGAATGGTGTAAATGTTTCAAAGATGGCCATACGTCCATCAGTGACAATTCTGGCTGTGGTGGTTCCCAGCCCACAGCAGTCATTCCTGTGAACATTCAGCAAGTGGAACTCCTGCTCCTAGACCAGGGGTGGGCAAACTTTTTGACTTGAGGGCCGCAATGGGTTCATATATTGGACCCGGGGGCCGGACCAAGAGTAGATGAATGATGTGTATGTGTCATCCATAGTAAGTATAGTAATATTCCCCCATAGTAAGCATAGTAATTAATCCCCCATATAGTAATTCATCCCCCATAGTAATTCATCCCCCATAGTAATTCATCCCCCATAGTAATTCATCCCCCCTATAGTAATTCATCCCCCATATAGTAATTCATCCCCCATAGTAATTCATCCCCCCTATAGTAATTCATCCCCCATAGTAATTCATCCCCCATATAGTAATTCATCCCCCATAGTAATTCATCCCCCATATAGTAATTCATCCCCCATATAGTAATTCATCCCCCATAGTAATTCATCCCCCATATAGTAATTCATTCCCCAATAGTAATTCATTCCCCATAAAGTAATTCATCCCCCATATAGTAATTCATCCCCCATAGTAATTAATCCCTCATATAGTAATTCATCCCCCATAGTAAATTCATCCCCCATAGTAATTCATCCCCCATATAGTAATTCATCCCCCATAGTAATTCATCCCCCATATAGTAATTCATCCCCCATAGTAATTCATCCCCCATATAGTAATTCATCCCCCCCATAGTAATTCATCCCCCATAGTAATTCATCCCCCATAAAGTAATTCATCCCCCATAGTAATTCATCCCCCATAGTAATTCATCCCCCATATAGTAATTCATCCCCCATAGTAATTATCCCCCATATAGTAATTCATCCCCCATAGTAATTCATCCCCCTTAATAATTCATCTCCCATAGTAAATAATCCCCAATAGTAATTCCCCCCATATAGTAATTCATCCCCCATAGTAATTCATCCCCCATATAGTAATTCATCCCCCATAGTAATTCATCCCCCATATAGTAATTCATCCCCCATAGTAATTCAATCCCCCATAGTAATTCATCCCCCATATAGTAATTCATCCCCCATAGTAATTCATCCCCCATAGTATTCATCCCCCATATAGTAATTCATCCCCCATAGTAATTCATCCCCCATATAGTAATTCATCCCCCATAGTAATTCATCCCCATATAGTAATTCATCCCCCATATAGTAATTCATCCCCCATAGTAATTTCATCCCCCTTAATAATTCATCTCTCATAGTAATTAATCCCCAATAGTAATTCATCCCCCATATAGTAATTCATCCCCCATAGTAATTCATCCCCCATATAGTAATTCATCCCCCATAGTAATTCATTCCCCATATTAAGTCCCCAAGTCCCCCCTGTGTCAATTCACTTACCTTTGCTCCGCGCGTTCCTCTCGCCGTCTTCCCGCGCCGTTCCGGTGTAGCATGAAAATCTGTCTCCTATGAGGATCTGTCCCCCTCGACGTATCTGCGCATGTGCCAGTTTCAGGCATTAGCAGCCGATCGGCAATCTCCGGCACATGCGCAGATACGTCGAGGGGGACAGATCCTCATAGGAGACAGATTTTCATGCTACACCAGTCTTCAGGGCGGACTGTGAGAGGAGCCTAGCTCCGCGGGCCGGATTAAAAGGTCCGCCGGGCCATATACGGCCCGCGGGCCGTAGTTTGCCCATTGCTGTCCTAGACTCGGCGCATAACATGTTGTGAAATTGCACAATAGACAAATCTTCCTGTGGGAACGGTGAACACAATGATGATGAAGTGAAGCAGGTTGTCCTAGGATGGTTCAGGTGCACAGACAAATCCTTCTATGGCAAAGATTTCCAGGAATTCGTTAAACACTGGGATAAGTGTATAAATGTAGCAGGGGAATATGTTGGAAAATACATGCAGTATCCACTCCTTGAAATGTGTTCTTTTATTATAATAACTCAAAAGTCCCATTTTGACTTGAATATATATATATATATATATATATATATATATATATATATATATATATATATATATATATATTTGTTCTGTTTTTAAGAATTCATCCATATACTGATACATACAATCTCTTGTCAGGGGATTCCAATATGCCATCCTTCAATGATTCAATGATTCCACCATCTCTTTACCATGAATGGTGGAGTAAGCATTCCAATAACTCACCCTTCAATGAGTCTACAATCCCTTCTCAGTGTGTATTGGAGTAAGCATTCCATATGTCACCCCTTAATCAGTCCACAACTTCTTTTGGAAGTCCATGGGCTCTGAGTCAGCATCTTCTACTACTGTCAACGGGCATCATACATACTTGAAGTGATAACTGAGATAAAAATTCAGGCTGTACATTCTGTGTGATCACTGTGCTGTATTCTTTTAGTTCAAAAGCTTAGAAAATATGGTTTGAGGTATGATAACTTTTGAATGAGGTATCTCCCAGAAAGGAGAACACACATAATTAATTCAGAAGTAAAAGTACTATAAAATGCATATTTCAGTAGTACTGTTTCCATCGGAGTGTCTGTTCTGCAGCAAGCTGTTCCAAACAGTATAAAATAATACATGTGGCGGTGCACATAGAAGATGAAAGGATTAATGAACAGGATCACATGGGAACATTAGTGGAATATTGTGGTCTCACTCTAAAATAGGAAACATTACGTTGTAATAAAATGTAATTGTTTGTCCTTACTGAACTCTTCTTCCCATTTCCAAAACTGCGTTTACAACAAAACAAGAATACACTTTTGTATTTGTAGGATGCACATTATCTCACAGCATTTAAAAGATATATTTTGGTTATGCATTTTTTCAGGTAGCCTATGTTTGTTGTAAAAGTAATCATCCCTTAACTTTTTGAGGTTGCTAACATGCAACAAGCACATAGATAAGGAAAGTTGAAATAAATTCAGAGCAACTAATCTTCACATGTCTTCTGGGCCGATACCCTAGAGTCAGTGATGTATTTAGGTTTTGCGTTGCCCTAGGCAACACAAAAGTCACCCCCCTGCAGAGAGAGCCTGACATTGACCAACAACACCCCTGCCCACCACCCGAGAGAGCCTTCCACTACCACTGCCCCCATACACCAGCCACCATCCCCCATGGCGAGAGAGAGAAAGACACTCACCTTCACAGCTCCAGCCATCCCCGGGAACGACAGTCAGTCTGTGCAAACGTCATGAAACCCACAGACTCTCTCGGAAATCCACCAGGTCCCCATGCCATGTGTGTCCCATTTTCCATCCCTTCGAGGGGCAGTGCTGCCCCCCCCCCCTGAGAAATGCCACCCTAGGCAAATGCCTTGTTTGCCTTGTGGTAAATACACCCCTGCTCAGAGTATTGAAACAAATAATCTAGCATAACAGTCAGGAAAGTAGCATTTTCATATAGGAAAGTCAGCAAAGGCAGCCTCCATACTTTCATAAAATATACAATATGACTAGAAGTGGTTCAGTACCTCTCCAAATGATTGGGTTCAAATGAACAAATCCTGATACATGAAGGCATGGTCTGATGAGTATGGTCTGGGAGAACTCAAGTGACCTGCATAGAGCTGTGACCTCAATGTTACTCAACACGTTTGGGATCAATTGGAGCACTGATTGAAAGCCAGGTCTTTCAGTTAACATAGCCCTTTAACTCAAACATGCTCTGTTGGCTAAATGGGCACAAAATCCCACAGATATACTCAGAAATCATGTACAAACCTCTCCCAGAGGAATCGAGGTTGTTATAGTCACAAAGGGGTGGGGGGAAATTGCAACTACACATTAAAGACATTGATCCACAAAGCTATAAACTGAAGAATATGGCAGACAGCAAGAAGCTGCAGAGTTTGTTGAGTGACACCCTACACTAAAATATCAGAGATAGTATGGTAACATTATATTTATGTTAAAATTCAAAAATTATATATTTATTGTTTAATAAACAGTGCAAAATATTTGCAGGTTTAAATTAAAGTGTTTGTAAAGGCATTTTTGTTTAATTAAATTAATAAACATGTTATACGTATTATACATGTTATACTTACCTGGTCTGTGCAATGGTATTTGGCTCAAAATTCCCCTTCTGACACAAATCTTGGCTACTCCTTTTCTGTGTCCACCCCCATAGCAATCCACTTGCTACGGGTGCAGACGTGCAGACACGCTCCTGGGCCAGGCTGTGTGTGTCCATAGAAACACTGCCCTCCACTCTCTGCTCACACAATTTGACTGACAACAGCAGGAGCCAATGGCTTTTGGAACCACTTTAAAAATGCACTAACCAACAGCATTGAATTACAATATACAGTATGTTAATGAAGTCATACCAGTACGAAGTTGATTCTGATTGGCTGTTTTAGTTACTGCATTGTTATCTGCATTGTTATTAATTGAATTGTTATTAACCAATTGCCTACAGGGTACCTTCAGCCCCTTCCTGCCCAGGTCAACTTTCAGCTTTCAGCGCTGTTGCACTTTGAATGACAATTGTGTGGTCATGCAACACTTCATCCATATGAAATGTTTATAATTTTTTTTCACACAAATAGAGCTTTCTTTTGTTGGTATTTAATCACCACTGGGTGCTTTATTTTTTGCTAAACAAAACGTTTTGCAAACAGGAAATTGATAAGGCTGCACTGATGGACAGCAGTGATGGGCACTGATAGGCAGCACTGATGGACAGTGATAGGCGACACTGATAGGCAGCACTGATGGGCACTGATGAGTTGGCACTGATAGGCAACACTTATGGGCACTGAGAGGCTGCATTGATGAGGCAGCACAAATGAGGCAGCACTGGTTCATATTGACGAGGAGACACTGATGAGGTGGCACTAATGGGCACTCATAGGCACTGATGGGCTGATAGATCGCACTTATGGACACTAATAGGCACCATTGAAGGGCACTGACTGGCGGAACTGATATGCAAAGATTGGCAGCACTGATGGGAACAGATTGGCAACACTGCCGGGCACAGATTTGCTGCACTGCTGGGCACAGTTTGGCAGCTCTGATGGGCACTTTTGGGGCTGCACTGATAATGTCTCCTTTCAGTCCTGCCAATTATCGTCAGTACTTTCCTTACACTATGACAACGTGATGAAAGTACTGCCGATGACCGACAAGTGTATTTACATGGTGATCAGCTCTGATTGAACACAGCTGATCAGCTGGTAAAAGGACACAGCAATTACAGAGAGCGCCGGGTGTGTGCCGCTGGGGGTGCGCGAGGGGGGGGGGTGGGCGCGTTCTATGAGGATGTCATGTGACGCCCTCCCAGAACTGGATGACTGTGCTGTAGCTGTCATTCGGCTATAGCCCGGTCAGGAAGAGGTTCAACAGAACCTCTCAGAAATCTGAGAAATTGCTTCATAATTTTACAGACACAGTTTTATAGTGCCTTTTTAAGATGAATTACATGCATTATGATCAATGGCACAACTGAACTGTGTGATGACATGATCTCGTGCAGAAGAAGGAAAATGATCTCCTTTTCTACCATATTGGTAACAAATGTTTAAAGATAAATAAGTACCAAACAGTAGTTACCATAAAGTTGTAACATATAGAAAAAATTCCTCTGGCAGCATTGTTGGAGCATTTGTTTCTATGTAAATACAGACTTTCTGAAACTTGCTGTGTGCTTAGACTTAGACAAGCACAAAGAGCATTGATGCCTGACATTAGATATAGGTAGATAACAAATGCTGTCATGTGTCCATGTCCCAAAACTATTTTAGGGACATGGGGGGACTGAAAAAAAAAAACACAGGTGCAGTTTCCTGCTTTAGTCCTGGTTTACACTACAATGCAGTGTGGGAAACATGCGAACATGCATTCAACATGCACTGCCCTTGAGATCTGCAGAGGGTGTCAATGTAATGTTAACGACACCCCAATTGCAGGTTGCAAACACAAAATAACCATTAGATCCAGTTGCAGCGCATTCTAAAATTGGTGCATGCATGACTTTGGTGTGATGTGGTACATTTTGAGCCCATTCAAAATGAATGAGCTCAAATTTCATAGCACTGAATCACATGTGAATTGCACAGATATGTGGTGCACATTCCTGTGCAATACATATGCAATTCATAGTGTGAGCCAGGGCTTATGTTGCCTACAATTCTGTAGTTTGCTGATCTACGTATATGATTTTCATCACTACAAGTTTACTTTAAACAAATTGGGCTGTGAAGCCAAATCAAGTTGGCTGAGCTGAAGATAAAACAAATATCTCATCATTTCTCAGTTTAAATTAATCTTATATAATTTTCTATGTGATTTTTATCCTTGGGTTTCTATACCTAAATGGCTGCTGAGGGTATATACAGTGGGTCTGTATTATTTATTACAGGTACTTATATAGCGCCGTCAATTTATGCAGTGATTTTACATACATATTGTACATTCACATCCAGGGGCGGACTGACAACTCATGGGACCCCCCGGGCAATAGGGGATCATGGGGCCCCTGTGTCCTTGCCCAAACTCAAAAAAGCCTATGAAAAAGGTACCAGGGGCATCTCATGGGGCCCCTACTGACCCCGGGCAATCGGGCAGTGCCCAAGTTTCCAAATGTTCAGTCCGTCCTTGTTCACATCAGTCCCTAACCCTCAGTGTACAATCTAAGGTCCCTAATTTTCATTCATACATGCACATACTAGGGCCAATTGAGACAGGATCCAATTAACCTACCAGCATGTCTTTGGAGTGTGGGAGGAAACCGGAGTACCTAGAGGAAACCCATGCAGGCACAGGAAGAACATGCAAACTCCAGGCAGGTGGTACTGTGGTTGGGATTTGAACTGACAACCCTAGTACTGCCAGGTGGAAGTGCTAACCATTCAGCCACTGTGCTGTAGAAGATATCATGTTGGTTTAGTTAATAGCAGGGGCGGACTGACCATTTGGAAACTCGGGCCCGGGGTCAGTGAGGGGCCCCATGAGATGCCCCTGGTACCTTTTTCATAGGCTTGAGTTTGGGCAAGGACACAGGGGCCCCATGATCCCCTATTGCCCGGGGTCCCCATGAGTTGTCAGTCCGCCCCTGGTTAATAGGCTGTAATTGTTGTTGCCTATTTAATATTTTAGTCATTGCTTAAGCCACTCTTACTATTTTTCTTTCTTTGCCACATTTATAGAGCTTCACAACATTCAGATTTTTCAGATGAAACCATAGTCCACGATACATTGACATGCACCATTCACTATTTTGTTCCACATTTTCTCCGAATCAGAAAAAGTTGCAATGTCAAGGTGGAATGTAAGAAAGGTGAAATGAAGATGTAGCATGAAATGCAGCAGACACCCATTGAAAGTAACAATTTTGAAGAAAAAAAAAAAAAAAAAAAAGTTTGAATCTCATAGATTTAATATTAAAATACACTTTGAACCTCATAAATTTACTACTAAAATACAGTTTGTATCACATAAACATAGAGATCAAACTGCGGGAGTGCATACCTTAATACATGCAAATCAACAGTAGTATTTGTTATCCTTTTGCTAAATACAAAAACTACAAATTTATAAAATACATGACATAAATTAAACTAGGGCAAAAGCCTAACATACATTATAGAGATTTGCTTGGCTGAAGAGGTCTTCATGCTTCATAAGCCAATGCATAAAGACTTTGTACTGGCCATCTTGTTCAAACGAAAATGAAATGACCCGCTGGGTAAAAAATAAATCACTCAGTCATCCAGCAAGGCTCTTACACAAGCAGTGCTTAACATGTTACAGTAGTTTAATATTCAGAACACTCTATGTAAAAATGAAGGATGAAGCTATTGAAGATCAACTACTATCAGCAGATTAGCTATGTCAAATGTATAGATTTAGCTTATTTCATTAGACTTTATTTTTTAGAATAAGTATAATAAAAAAAAAAATTACAATTTCAAACACAGCCATTTGTATAGCCTCTGTTTCAGGGACAACATATTCATTATTTGGGCAAGATTTTGAATGGACAGTGATAAGTGGAATTCTTGAAATTTACATTGCAGACAATTTGCCACTTCTGATCTGCTTAATGTCAAAACAAGTCTTCAACACATTTTGACACTATGGCTTTTACAGAATTAAAAAGACCCTGCCATTTTTGAAAGTCAAATGCTGCTAACAGGAATGCAAAACAGGCACCCAGAGATGCCTGAATTTCTGTATCAGCTTTAGTACTCTCTGCTTTGGCCGAGTGAGGCAGACTACAATGATGGGCCAGAGGGAATGGTAGTGTCAAACCTTGTCACTATCAGGAAGTGTTGGAGTTTAGTTTATCAGAATCACCTAGCATTAGCACAAAGGTACTGAAAATTGCTCTATGTGCAGGCATCTGGGAGCCCTCACATTATACCTTAATACTTGTGAGTAGTTTTTGATTTTCATAAAAAGAGAGATGGGGCCATGAATATTTTTCTTCCTTCTGAGGAGGTGGCAATTTAAGTTCTTTGAAATGATAAGATAGCTTATCTAGCTGACATCTCAAGGTCTGATAATATTTGGAGGCACCCTTAGACAATCAGAGGAGAAGAATGAGGTGGCATGCTCAGTGTACTGTAGTGAATTATGAGTTTGGCAAAATTGTACTAACAGTGGGAGGTCCTTAACACTTCAACCTATGTACAAAGGTCAGAACTATATAGTGTAGGGACAAACAAACCTGGGTTTGGTTCACTGGTCAGTCACTGTACTGCGCTGAAACTGTAAACATTAATCCACACCCCACTAAGGTAAATAGGAGCCGAATCTTTAAAATTATTCTGACCATTTTCTAGGTTAATAGACAAGGGAGTGATAAACAAAAGGCATTGGAGTCTGGGCACTGCTCTGGGGACAAGCAAGAAAGTAAAAACAAAATACTGTTTGGCAGGGGGCATTTATTTTAATAATGCTTAAAGCAAAACATCAAAAATGCACAATTCCTCTAAACAACATGCTTGGGGATGCCCAAAACCTAATTTTGCAGTGGTGCACCTATAAGATGTATACAATGTACTAAAGCAATAGTGACATTTACAAAAAAAAATTCCATTTAATTTACTGGTAAATTACATTTTCCTACTTGTTTCTCTTTGTAAAAAATAGTCTAATATGTATTTTGGGGCCCCAATGGCATTTGTTGCAAAGGAAAAAAGCCTGAAGACCCCCTCCCTCCACATTCATTATAGATCATAGAAAATAGTCACATACTTGTCCAGTTCCTAAAATGTGAACTGGGAAAACTGTTATAGATCAAAACTATGTTTTGATAAGCACACTGGGAAGTATTTCACTTTTTAGCCAATTTATTATTTGGGGGCATTATACTGGGGACAATAGGCACATAAAAGGCTAATGTTAGAAAAAAACATAGCACCAGTAGAAGGTGTTTGTTCCACCCCCTCCACTAGGGAAATTCTGGGAAGTGTTGGATTCGATCAGACACTATACCCATATACCCTTGTGGCCAAAACAGTAAAGTTATAAACATGACTGGCTGTTAGTAAGGAATTACGTTTTTTTTTCTGAAGATACCGTGATATTATATCAGAGGCATGCATTACCATGCAACAGAACATATGTTAAATGTGACATCAGCATTCCCATTAGCCAGAGCTAATGAATTCTTGTTTCCAGTCATGTCACACATTAGAGCTGTGTAGTAAAATCCTCCTCACGCACTAACTTATAGCGAGGAATAGAGCTTCAATGAGTGCTGCACAGAGTCTATTTGCTTTGTGTAATTTTGCATAAAAAATATATTGAAAGGGGAATCAGTTCCTATTCAGAGGCATATTTCTATAGCAACTACAGAATCCACCTGAATCTAATTATCTCCCCAGACTATGCCACCAAAAAGAGAAATGAATAAGCATTTCACTGGTGTATGTGATGTGTAATATTTAACTTTGCAAAGTGAGCCAGCTAAAGTGAAATGAGAAAGTGTCTGAATAGCACTGTGTAGACTAAGGACACTGAATATAAAAATTCCTTATTATTGAAATTTGCTGAAATCTCTCTTTCTTCACACAGAATGTATATTCTGAAAGACAGCACGCTTGCAGTATTCAAAGGACAGTTCTGGCCAAACAACTAATTATGAAGTTAAAACGTGTTTAGAGGAACTCCTTCACCAGACAAAGAAGCTGTAAAGTAATATACATACTTTTGTGGAATATCCAATCCTACTGTGCTAAAATACAGTTTAAACCAGTCAACCTGCTGAAAGATCTATTTTCTGGTGATCTCTTAGTTCCTGCTGTGCTCTATAACTGCATAGTGTAACAAGTTTGACATTGCTTCAAAGCCCAAAATATCTAGGAGCACAAAGTGAGTGTCACACCAATTTACAAAGAAACCAAACATATAACTTTATTAGCCCTTAATCGAGATGTCACAAGATGTAATATCCAAAATGTGTTTTGTGTTTTGCAAACATCCCAGTTTAATAAGGCTGGAAGAACACAAGCAATTAATCCAACATATTAAAATAAACTATTCAGAATAAAAAGAAAAATAGATTGTTTTCTCCTCTTATATATGGCTTGGGTTTACAATAGCATGATAAGTTATATTAGAGACTATGCCTATAAGAATCTGTACAATTACAAATATATAAAAACACCACTATGATGGAATCTGAATATGTAACTCTGATAAAAAGTACTAGAAATGCCCACTCGATAAAACCTATTGAATAAAATAATGATACCACTATGTATAAAATGTTAAAATATTGACTAGTGTTTTATAGCAATGATAAAATATTATAGTATGTAAAACAATAAACACATAAAAAATCCACATGGCCATATATAACATTGTGAGATATAATAAACATTTCAAAAGATATAAGGGATTTATTAGATACACTCCAAAATATACTATGAAACACTAACCACACCATGTGAAAAAATAAACACTGCATTGTACGTACAGTATATAATAAGGTTAACGCTTTAGAGCCTGAAGGTCTGTAGACATTGTGGGGTTGATTTACTAAGACCTGGAGAGTGCACAATCTGGTGCAGCTGTGCATGGTCGCCAATCAGCCTCCAACTTTCAGCTTGTTCAATGAAGATTTGACAATAAAACCTGAAAGCTGATTGGTTTATATGCAGACCTGCACCAGATTTTGCACCCTCCAGTTTTAGTAAATCAACCTCTGTGCTAGCCTATTGCTAGCTGACAAGTTACCACTCCTTGATCCAATGTAGTCTACTGGACTTTTTACCTGTTCATTCTCTCCCAATAAAACTGCAGATCAGTAATAAAAGGTTCCTTGTAAAATAGCCACTCCCGCAGTACAATATTTTATGTGAAGGCTCTTCATTTGTCTTTGTCCTGTACTGGTCCTCCTCTTTGTTACAATTTCTGCCTAGGACGAAGTTATGGGAACAAAGCTACACATTTATGGTGTTACTTGCCCCAGGATGAATGATTCTACCATAAACCCAAAAACTAACTAGATGATATTTTTTGAGATTCCTACATTCCAGTACTCCTGTTCAAACTGTTTAGTAATTTCACTAATTCACAGGATTAACATTAACAGGCTACCATCCTAGGATACTAATGGTGTGGGTATGGTCAATACCCATATGTATCGAGAAGGGG